GGACCATCAGGAGTCCCGGAGCATTGGATGCCGGACTAATGGAGTTTTACTGTATATAACCATCTTATAGTACCTCCTGATAGTCCGGCATATCTGATAATCCAGCACCACCTAGGTCCCATAGGTTCCGGATTATCGGAAGTCTACTGTAATTGGGTAACTGTGTAATCACTGAACATTTCGGCAGTTAAACAGTTACATGCACCCACAGCACAGGATGGCAGCCAGCTCCCTGGGAACTGGTACACACTGGGAATTGGCTTGTAAGCAGGCTCCCAGCGCATAATGGGTCCCACCTGCTGCTCTGCTCCTGGGGAGCTGGCTGCCACCCAGTGCTTCTGCTTCTGAAACAGAGCCAGCAATGCAGAGCAGCAATGCAGAGCAGCAGCTGGCTCCCCGGAAGCAGGGCATGAGTAGTCAATAAGCCCAGACTTCTCAGTTAACGGTGTGAATGGTTATGCTATTACATCCCTAATAATCACTTTGAAAATATAAAAGATGATCTCTTCCAACGGAATGTGTGTGAATAAAAAAAAAAAAAAAAAAAAAAGATACTTACTGCCAGCAAAATTAAATTAAAATAAAAATTTGCATCCCGTGTTACCTTTTAATATAATAAATGGGTATGTGTGCGCCTCTTTATTATGCATTTATTACTTTTGAAAACCAGGCAAGATTTGATGAAAAATGTTTCTTTCTACTAAAATTCAATACTCTAGTGCTGCTGAAGAAAAAGTCTCCTGTGTTACTTTTATATTATAGGGAAAACACAAAGTATATCTTGGATATACATTATAAATCCATGCATTTTACAGAGCAGAAAAACAAACAAAAAGACAGTACCTTTCAGAAAGATCGTCTGACTTGCTAGAAAAGAAAGTGGTGACGTCCCGCCATCCCTTACTGCCAGCTCCCTGAACCTGTGAAGAAAGTACAAGGTTACCTCATATCTGGACTGAGCCCAAATACCACAATGCAAGACCACAGAACAAACCTCTGTTCATGTAAAGACATGTATCTAAAGCAACCTTACAAAGTTTGACTCAATCACTCAGGAGGCCAGTATGACAATTAAAGTTCGATATCTTTTGTCATCAACATGGCAAGTAAATTTTATGTCTAGGCTATTAAGGGTTGGTTCTTTTTAAATGATTTTGCGAGGTTGATGTAAAGAAAAATATTGACTGGATGCTGCTTAGCTGAGCAAAAATCTGCTGGGTAACCAGGGCTTACTTTTTTCACCTGACTTTTGGTTGTGACAGATTTTGATTTCTACCTTGGACTTTTCTGATAAAAATGTTGAGATTGCTCTGAGCAGGAAGGGATGCCTAATTCTCCATTGACCTGGGTTCTGTGATGCCATTGGGGAAAATGCACTGCATTCCCAAGTCAGAATGGTAGCATTTTCCATCCACTTTGCACTCGTGTGAGTGGCAGAGTAAAGTAATGGGCAAATCCTATGTTTTTAGCTCGAGACTCTTACTTGGTATACTCACTTTTGTGCATAAACTATGTGCCCCCAGAAAAGTGCGGAAGCACCAGTTCTGTATGCATCTGTAGCCATACAGCCATTAGTTGGGGAGCTAGCCATACACTTGCCAATCTTTTTCATAATAGATTTTGTAAATTGGCAGGAATAAAAGTAAGGGGCTTGATGGAAATTTAGTAACAAATTATTAGGTTTAAGAATCTGGGTACATCGTAAAGTTACATAAAGATCTTCATGAGCAAGAAAATATTGGAACAGACCTAATTCGATATCCTTAGGTTATGAAGCCCTGTCTAGAACTTTAAGCCATTATGGAATTTAGTACTGTTTAACAAGACTTGTATCCATGCTAAGCAAGTTTTAAACTAAATATTGCTACAGGATGGTGTTTGGATGCTAAGTACAGGTTGGACCTCCCTGGTCAGGACCTGATTGGTGCCGGATGAGGGATTTTGCGGGACCAGGGAAGGTCATTTCTAGCCCCCTGCTGCCAGCCCTACTCCCTGCCCTGATGCCTCACTGTGCGTCCTTGCTCTCTGGGGGGGGCACTGTGCGTCCTTGCTCTCCGGGGGGCGGGGGGCAAGCTCAGCTGGATCACACACAAGCCTTCCTAGCTCTTCCCCACCTCTGCACCAAGTTTCCCGGCTTCCAGTCCCCCCTATTCCTGGCAGCATGGTAGCCTCCCAGCCCCACTAGGCTCCCTAGCTGGGGCGTGCACTGGGCTCTGCCCTCCCTGCATCATGCCGGGCTTCCAGTTCCCCCATCCACTGCAGCACACCAGAACTCTCTGATCCTGGAACACCCATGGTCCTGCTTATGTGGCCGGACCAGAGCGTCCCAGTTATAGGTGCAACCTATAGTTTTAATCAAATTGCCATAAACCGGAGCCATTATTACCCTGACAAATTCAAAATTAATACAAAGATGACAATGTTTAACTAAGTTCTGGATCTGCTGCAGGGTCTGACTTTAGTGTATTTATACTGTTGCTGTGTATATAAAGTGGTTTCACCACCAATTTCCAAAAGCAATTTCATTTTAGTGCTCACATGGACAGGCCAAAAGTTAATTTTTTGAATGTTACTGTTGGAGGAATTCCAAAACACATTTTCCTTCTGTTACACTGAGATCGTAAACACAAACCATTAAATGGCATCAATAATGAGCACTAAATACACCAGTTGGGTCTCTGTGTAGGATGGGGCAAATTGCCAGACTTTGAGCAAAATGGACAAGACATTCATTCACTTTTTTGCTGAAGGATTCCATTATTCCCATCTTTTCAAGCAGGAAAAACTCCTGGAGCTGTGACTTCCAATACTAACTGCCCGTGACAGTTAAGACATCAACAGCACTAGGCAATCCTGCACAAATTACTGAACTAGCATGTAACAAACTTCTGCAAGCATCCTAGAACTAGTAGTAGTAGTGATCACTTACCGCATTACCAAGCAACGTCAGCATAATGGGAAAAAGTTCCACACATTAATGAAGTTAATAAGTGTACATATTTTATTTAAGCTGTCTCCATATTCTTTAACACTTACTGTTAAACATTTGGGTCACTGATTCTTTTGCAAGTCTACATTTCGCTGTTAGCATAAGCATTATTCAGAGATTTGTAAGGTCTGATTAGTGTACCTGTAGCTATGTATGCTCACAATTTGCCTGTGTATCAAGCCATAGGATTATGCCATTGTCATAATAAAATATCCTTCTCCCAGATTACTTGTACTGAGTATGAATAGCAAAAAGCAGAAACAAACATCTTATGGATTTTGTTTTATAAGATACTTATCACTTGTGTTTGTGTGATCTGTGCACACAAAAGAATATGGAGACTGGCTTAGTATTTGGCCTCCTAATGGGTAGGCAGGCCCCTTCATACCTTGGTAGCAAGATGAGATACCCCCATAGAGAACTCATCAAATACTTTTCCCTCTTTCACCTAGATGAATCAAAATGTCCGCAGTTAGTCATGAAACAAAATGGTGTCTACAGCTTAAAACAGGACAGCTTGTGATAACAGCTAGAGACAAAAGGTAAAAACAAGCTAAAGTATATTTGACTCAATAGACAATGAGGTTAAGAAAATAAAATATGAAGTCTGTTGCTAATAACAGGCTGATCCACAGCTGTTTGAAGTTAGTGGGACTCTTTCCATTGACTTAATTTGGTTTTTGGATTGCCACTATTACAGGAAACTTGAGATTTGGGGAGAAAAACCCACTCCACACAGACTGCATAAAATGGTATTCTGAAGAGACTGAAAACAAGACAAGAATGGCTTCCAAGAAGAGATGTTTTCAACATTGACACAAATCTACTGGAAGACTTGATATCCTTGCTTTCTGGTCATTTGGAGTACAGTGCAATTTAGTTTCTCAGCTGGTGTAAAACATAATTATCATCAATAAAAATAATACAAGTGACTTGATACAGTTGCATATGGGCTAGCCCATCATTGGCCGCTGTCAATTATGTAACTCTGGAATAGGGACGTTAGATGTTGGGTAATTGAATAGTCGTGTAACCACTTAAAATCTTTGCAGTCGTGTAACCACATAGTCCCCGGGGCCAGAGCTGGCAGCCAGTGCACTCCCGGTCCCACTCAACCCTGGGGACCCCCTGCCATGCCACGTGGCTGCCTCAGGCAGTCCGCAAGAGGAGCAAGTTTAAAAAAGCAGCTCCCCTCACGGACTGGCTGCCTGCCACCCCACGCTGCTGCCTCTGATACAGAGGCAGTAGCACAAGGTGGCAGCAGCCCCTGTCCGTATGGGGTCTGACTCGGGGAGGGGGGGTCCCAGCCACTGTCTGCAGGGAGCTCGGACCCAGTGCAGACAGGGGCTGCTACCATGAAGCAGTCTCTGCCTGCACTGGGCCCAGGCTCGTCACAGACAGAGGCTCCTCCTCGTGGCAGTCTCCCCTGCCCCTCCCCACCACTGCTGCCTCTGATAGACGCAGCAGCATAGAGGAGGGGGGCACCGCGGAGCCGGTGCTGGGAAGGGAGGGGGAGAAACCAGCTTTTAAGGCAGCTCCCCCCAGCACGAGTTCCTGCTCCACTTCCCCACACTGTCTCTGATACAGAGGCAGCAAGGGGAGGAATGCAAACAGTGGACAAGATTAACCAATAAGAATAGGCTTATCAGTTAATCATCTAGTCAACTACTCGTTGACATAACTTATTCTAAATACAATTATTTTCCAGAGTAGGTAACAAAACATTGCCCAAAGGCAGTCTGCCATTATTTACCTTAGCTAATATGTAACATTCTTCACTAAAACAGTCTTCCAAAACATGGAAATCAACTACAGGAAAAGCACCCCAAGAAAACAGACTGGCTGCAATATACTTTGCATTATCGATTATTTATTTCCATTTATACAGAATTTACCATCTCTACCAAAACAAAAAAACCTTGATAATAAAATTCATTTCTGTAAAAAGATCCTACTCTGGAAATGATTCAGGATAACTTTAGATAGTAGAAATCTCAGAATTAAAATGCATCTGATCTAAGACAGTTTGAAAAAAAAAAAAGGACAACTTAATGAGTGTCTGATACAAGAATGAACTACTTGAGTGCTAACCTTAATTTTTTCAGTTTAGACATGAATCTATATTCTACTGTGCTAGTACTATGTTCCCACATGAAAAACATTAATTTACTACAATAATGGAAATAAGTATGTTTAGGAAAAGATGTACAAGTAGATCAGCACATTCTCATTTATGAAGCCCTAATTATACACATTTTGGAACTCATCCAAAATCTGTAGATGTACAGGATAAATTAAATGAACGTCATTTGGGAAAAGATTAAAAAAACTGAGTTACACATTAACAGGGAAAACAGCATTTGACTTATTATGGAGCATCTATGATTAAAACAGATAAAATTGGACAGCACCACTCACTCAGAATAGCTTTTGTTTTTTTGGTCAGCTGCTGACCAGAGGTTAACCGGAAAGCGCACATAGCATTCATTCATGTATCTACAGCTAACGTGTAAATAATAGGGCTGTCAATTAACACGTTAACTCCTGCGATTAATGCAGGGCAGGATTAATGCCTTAAGTTTTTTAAACACGTTAATCGCAGGCATTAATGCAGCGCTGCCCCTTTCAAGTGCCGCTCTGGCGCTCCAAAAAGGCAGCACAACCCGGAGCCTGGGACGCGCAGAGGCAGCGTTTCAAAGGGCAGCTGCTTCACAGCTGAGCAAAGATCAGCTGTGCAGCAGCTGTCCCTTCGAAACACTGCCTTCGTGCATTTCAAAGGGGCAGTGGAGCCCGGGGTCAGCTAGGGAGCATTTCCCCAGAACCCAGGGTCAGCTGGGGAGTCTCCAGCTGACCCCGGGATCCACTGCCCCTTTGAAATTCACGGAGGCAGTGTTTTAAAGGGGCAGCCGCCTGACAGCTGATCCACGGAAGTGCCGTGTGGAATGCCTAATGTTGTCCCACCGCAGCAGCATTTCAAAGGGGAGGCGTATGCGATTAAATTGACAACCCTAGTAAATAACGATACAGGTAAGGAGATAGGCTTTTCCTCTTGCTTTTCATTTTTTAAAACCCCAGGAAACAATATAATAATTTCAGAAGTGACACTAACAATTAATGTTTCTTAGTAAAATGACTAAATAGGATAAAGTATATTTCATTTTATGAATCCAGATAACCCTTGAGATTAGTTGACTAAGACAAGGCCCTAAAAAAGTATCAGAAAGCATATTTCTTTTAAGAATTGCCTGCAATCAGTCTGAAACCATATTACTGCTCAGATTATATTAATCCTTATGTAGCTGTGGATGCTCTGATATGCCTTCAAGATGCTTATTTAAAAGGGAACAGCACTAGCAGTCAAAAGGTAACAATTATGAAATTAAAACACTCTAAAGTAATATTACTAATCAAAATATTTGCTTATCACTGACTTCTCCAGTAAAATAAGAGGTGCTATGAGGGGCTCTGAATGGAGTCCCAGCCACATGAAGTAAGATGGCTGTAACTGGGCATATCATGGGAAAGAGGAATAAAGCAAGAGAAAATGGGGACCTCTTGGGATGGAGCTGGACATGAAGCCTACCAAAATGAGGAAAATGTTGCAACTTGAACATTTCTTTGGTAATGTTTACAGTGAATTATCTGGCATTTCCCCTCTGTTACAGTGCCAGTGAACGTAAAATAACTGAACATGCGGGCAATAAACTGGTTTTGGCAGGAAAACATAAAATTACTTCCTAAGTAATACAAAAATACTCTGTAGGTAATTTACTCATTTCCAAAGTTACCTTTTCCTGTGCAGGTTTGAGAACATTTTCATTTAAAGTCTGACCTAACTCTGATGCCTATTTAAAAGCAAAACAAAAGCAAAGTCAGTTATATTTTCCCTCATAAAATACAGCCAACATTCACTGCCAAGAAACTAGCCTGCAGTAAACTCAAAGAACATAGGACAGAAAAGCCTTAAGCTTTGCTTCATACAAGCAACATAGTGAGCTAAAAGCACACACAATGCAACGCTACAAAGTGCTACAAGAAAAAGAAACAGATAAAAGGCAATACGGCTGCTGAAAGTTCTCACAGCCCAAGAAAGGTCTGTCCTTTGAGATGGCACAACCTTTCAACCAGCAACAGTCCAGAAGGCAGGCCTCTTGCTAAGTCATGAGCTTTAGCAAATATTTTGAAATACTCTGAGCTACTGTACCCTTCTATGTTCTTCTCAATGGGATTACCAGGAAACACAGGAAAGAATATTAATTTGTTTACTCCCTTTCTGTGATGCAAGCAATGCCATCTACTAATAACCAATTCCCTGTTTCTAGGCAATACACCACAGTGATATCCATGTGAAAGGATGATTAAACTATTTTATGGCTTAAGAATCTCTCTCTGCTGTGATATGCAGACATTCTAGGAGGAGAACTGTAATTATAACTAGGATAGATGCACGAGGCTGTTGTACTTTAGAGAGGAGGTTTAAAGCATGCAAATCCATACTGTAAAAGGGGGAAGTCACAAATGAATTTGGCAGGACGATATTAAAAGGAGTGCAATTTGGAGTTTTTCCACAACTGTTAAATATTCCTTTCCTCACTATCTATAATAAAACAATCTTTAACCAATCATTGGGTGACAAGTACACTGCACTGATTAGTTCTGAGGAGCCGCTTATGTGCTAAAATACCACCAATTCATTCCTCATTAAAAAAAATTAGATTATGCATTTTATACCTATTGGATATTGGCCAATTCATTGTCATAAAAAGATATAACTATGGTTAGTAGTGATGTTAAAATGTGAGTAATCAAGTAACCATGCAACCACTGAAAATTTCAGCAGTTATATGTGGAGCAGTAGTCAGTTCCCCTGGAGCCAGCTTTTAAGCCAGGCAGCAGCACAGGATGGCAGGTTGCTTCCTGGCAGCTGGTGTGCATCAGGAACCAGTTTTTAAACCAGCTCCCCACATGTACTGGGAGCCTGCATGTAACTGTGAATGTTAACTGATGAGCCCAAGCTCAGCGCTTAACCATGTACACAGTTATACTTCCACATCCGTAATCATCAGTGATCAAAGAATATCAAACGTGCTGCTTAAAGGGAGCAATGGATCACTGCAGATACTGTACAAAATGGTCCTCCCAAGTAACAGAACCGCAGAACAGATACCGAAAGGGACAGTGGGAGACAGGATTTTGTCTTCTTTTGAAACACTGGATATTGGCATCTGTGAAAGACAAGATATCAAACCTGATAAACCTATGGTGTGATCCAGTACAGCAAACACTACATTCCTTCTGTGAGGCTCTTTTATTAAATTTTGGCTTCACATGGTACGCCAAAGCTATTCTGTACATACGTCTTTCTTGAATTCTACATGGAAAAGGAGAAACTGACACCATTAACATTTGCAAGAAGGATGGCTTGCAGTACAGAATGTTCTCTAACATACCAGAAGGCAGAACTGGCTCTCTCTCTCACTAATTTAAACTGTTTTAGATAGGCTTGGAGAGACATTACAGAATGATACATACAACACTATTAAAAAAATGACTGACTTAAAGAGGAAATAAAGAAGACAGCTCGAGCAAAAACGCACTTAACAGGAACATTGACAAAGCGCCCATGCACGTGAATATATGTGAGGGCTTTACCGGCTCTGGCTGCTGCTTGTAGCCCCAAAACTTTACCAGATAGCACAAGAGAAAGAGAGCAAGGAAGGTAGAAGAAGCAGCTTTTAGCAAAAAATTTGAAGCATTTTTCAGGCAAATTAAGTAGCATGATCCTTTTACTAGTCCAGCCTCTACTGACAAGAGACATAATTAGCAGGAGTCTGTATAATGTCCAATAGCTATACTGCACAATAAAATACAAGGCTGCCATAATTCATAATCAACCAGATTCTATGTGTATGCTATAAAGCAACAGATCAGGTTGTTAATTAGCAAATTTGAGCTTCCATTAGTGAGGCTCAAGAACTGAAGAATAATTTACTCAAATGCTTGTCAGTAGATCTGATGAGCTACTACATTTAACTCTCTACATAAGGAAGCATACCCACACTAAATGTAATAGTATATGAAAAATAGGCTTCAAAATGGAAAATCATAATCTCTGCTAGATATGGCAACAGAGGAAGATGTCTACTAAATTTTTCTCATTCAAGCCAAGCAATGAATCTCTTATGGCTTTTAGCTATGATTCAAGATGAAATCCTTCTGTGTGACTTTTTTGTTTATTTCTTCTAAAACACATAACTTTTGCCTATAACAGGATAGTGACATACCAGCATCTAACACTCACTGTTGACCACCAAGCCTTCCCATGCATTTCCCAGTCCTGGTTTGAACAATATGCTAATACTGTGAGACACAAATCACAGTTCAAGAGCAAGACTCTTTCATGTGCTATACATAATCCGCTGCCAACCCAAAGCATAGCATGAAGATTTTGGCACTAGTGAATCATATCTTTCGATAATTAAAGGAGGAAAGCCAGATATTTACATTCTAGCTTGGGATTTTCAAAAATGTTCTACAAAAACAAACCATGTTTTTAATCAGAGCTGTGGGGAAGGTCAGGTCTGACTGTCCCTGATTTAATCCTATTATAAAAAGGAAATATTTTTATATTTGAAATTGTTGCTTTTTTTAAACAAAGAAGCATCTTAATTCAACAATACTATTCAATGTGCTGTTAATTTCAGTTCATGCAACGGAACTAGCACATGCATGCTATTAAAACACCTAAAGATAACAAAACAATAATTAGAAACATTTCAAGGAGAAATCATCTTTAAGTTTCTCAAAACACACTCATAATATTGTATGGCATCAAACCATTCATTCATTAAACTGTTTAATTTTAATAGCAATAAGTACACCCACTATTATGTAGACTGTAAAAATATCACAATCCCTGTGCAAATAAAACCCTATATCAGTTTTTAAGACAATATCTTAGCGCATAGTTATACAGTTGCAAATATGCAGCACTGGGAATACCCACTATGGTTTTATAAGGACCAGATCCAAGAAATCTTGTCCTCCTGATATAAAGGGAATTAGTAGGGATTCCTAATAAGCCTGATTACCGTAAACGACACAGATCTACTTATTTTAATCACCTTTTGACTTGCTTGAGATCCAAATTTCGTAGCCTGTAAAATGGGGGGGGAAAAATAATTTGTTTAGATCAACTTTATTTTCTGCCCCTAATCAACAGACATAGTGGGTGAAATCCTGGTCTCAGCTGAAATGAATGGGAGTTTTAATACAGATTTCAGCAGAACTCAGAATTTCACACCCTATTTCTTAGAATATGGTATTAGTCTTAAAGAAAGCATACTCCTTCCATCCTTCTATGAACATATCAACTATAAACAGAAGCGAACAAACACTGAAATTTAAAGAGAAAAAAAAACATTCACAAAAAGTTTCTCCCCAATTTTTGTGAAGTTGAAATACTGACTTATTCCAATTGTAAGTCGCTAGCTACTTATACTCTCCAGGATAAATATAAAACAATTTGCCAAAGGGGTACATCAAGACAGGGGAAAACACTGTGGCCTGGTTTTGCCAGAAATTCCTTCTTAACTCCGAATTCTAGAGATCTTCCCATCAATGTGCTTCCTAAGTAAATCAGTCTGACTTTATAGCTCAGATTAAATCTACTGAACTAAAAATCTTGAAACACAAAGCCACTGACCAAAACAACAATTTTTAGCTGTGAATTTTTTTCCAGAAAGCACTAGTTTGGTATAACTCAGCACTGAGCCATGTCTCTTGATACTTATGTGCAGTGCTCCAGTTACTTGCAGAAACACCTAGCAAAAGCTGTATATTCATATCCCAAAATAAATGTGGAAAATACAGGAAGTAGGACGAATGTCCAAAATACAAAATTCTCATGAATCCACAGAAGTGAGAGGCCTACAGCAGATGTCAGGGGCACAAACTAAGGTATGGGGTGGTTTATCAAGAGTTGTTAGCGCTGATAGTAATTTACATTTAATTCTATTGTGGGATGTCTGACAGTTTGGATCTATATGGCTTTGATTCTAGTGGTTCTTATTTAGGCAGCTACCGACAGCTATTTCCCACATGGCGATACCATAAGATGGTGGGGAGAGAATAAGGACATGTTTTATGCTCTCTGATAGCCTAGTGGTGGGAAAGGGGCAAGAAGTCTGGAATATGTTTATAAACTGGTGGTCACATGACTTGTATTTGATATGGTATGGGACAACACGAACCTCTTTGATTCGGGCTGTTAAGTGCAAGGTCAAAGGAATCACAGCTAATGATTTAATCATTAACATTTAGTGAAAATTATGTACAGAAGTGGCAGAAACTTCCAAGATTAAATGACTTGAGATATTTTTAACTCTCAACCACTGGTCTGTCAGTTCTCAGACTCCAAAATCTCCTCTTGTTCTACTTCATTCTATCTGCTTTAATTTCAGAAAGTAATATAGTATATGAAGTATACTGCTCACCACAGTTCTAAAAAATGAACAGAACACAAGCCTTTGTCATGGCAAAATAAAAATCACAGCAGAACATCGCTTTTTAAATTCTGTTCAAAAGAACAGTATGCAAATATCTGGAAAAAGATAGCCCAGAATTCAAAAGGGAAAGGACTGCGCGAGTACACTTGTGAACATGATTATGCTATTCTAATGTTCACTTTTCATCACTGTAAGCTTACATATCAAGTCCCAAGTGTAGTTTTTAGAAATTAAAGTAAAAGTAAAACTGCATAGCTTCTTACAATTGTGCATTTAACTCTGCAGATGAAAACTTGTACCAAAAACCATGCACAGCTTTGGTTATATTGAGTACATAAACCTTTCCATTTTTAAAACATTTTCAATGCTGCATCAGGTATTTGGAGGGAGAGGAAGAGGGAGAGAACATATGGTGGGGTGGGCAAGATGGCCTCCGTGGGCCACATGTGGCTTGCCAAAATGGCTGATCCAGTTTGTGGCCAATCGAGACCTGGAGGCATGTTTAAACAGCTAGTGATTCTCTCTAAGAGTCAGGAGTGCGAGATCAAAGACTTCACGTGCTCCCCCATCCCCTAGGCCAATCCGGGTCTGTGGGCGGAGGAGCACGTTAAGTCTCTGGGCCTTGCCTCTTCTTCCCAAGACCCCACACCTTCCGGGGTAGCCCAGGGCCACTTCAGAGACTTGTGAAGTGCCCCTCCACCTTTGAAAATTATTGCCCACCCTTAATATATGGGAGGGAGGAGGACAGAGATGTTAGGGCAGCATTTATTATTTATTTCAGAATAAATCACTGTCAAGAGGACAAGTCAAGCTAACAGAATTCTTATGGCATGGAAACAATAAGATTGAAATAGCTTCTTGTTTACTTACACCTTCTTTAGCTGCTGAGGCAAACTTGCTTGCTCCAATTGTAAAACTGCTCCATCCCTTTAAAGGAAAGAGGAGGAAGTGACTAAGCTTACTTTAACATGGAATAATGAAACAAAATCAATATATTCTGTGACACATCCTATCTTGTAGCCATAAGAGAAGCTCACTAATTGAGACAGATTTGCTTATGGCAAAGTTCCACTGAACTGTAAAAAAAATACAGTGGTGAATTTCCCTTGTTCTCTTGTACATTCCCATAGCACAAATCCTAATTATGATGACTAAACATGAACAATCATTAATAATATGGGTTATTCTAATGGAGAAAACTTCACAAAGCTTTTGTTGCTCTCTAAATAGAAAAAGTTGCTCTCTAAATGATAGCAAAAGAAGATGAAGTGTTGATAGATTCTGCATAAATACAGGAGAGGTCAAGGCTAGTTCGTGTTTTGTGAGAGTTAACATCTGGGGGGAAAACAAAGGGACAGAGTGAAACGTAAGTGTAAGCTTGGAAGAAACTGAAGAGAGAGCCAAGAACCAGTGCGTCCAAACACACAAAAAGGATTAAGGGGCTCATAAGAAGCAGATGCAGATCTATTTTTGATTTATTTAATATGAAACCCCAAAACAACTTTTAGCTGTTTTTTGGCCTTATAAATCTCAAGAATATAAAGCCTTGTTTTGCAGGTTCTTTCCTGCAGGTCTCAATCAAGTTCCAGAAACTCAATCTACTTTCTTAAGCCCTTAGTTAATGTAATAGGGGCTGGAATCTATAAATGATTTTTTTCCTCAGTTTTTCGTCGACCATTTAACAAGGAACTACCAAGAAAAAAAGGGACAGTTTTAAACATTTTCATTACACTTTCTTTCTCTATCAATTGTTCAGCTCATAGTTTCGCTGTATTTGTTATATAATACTATTGGTTACACAGTCATGCATAATCTTCCAATAAAAACAGGAAGACTTGAATTTCTAACAAACACAAACAGAAAAAAGCTTTGGCACACTTTTCAGACCTTTATACACATTATAAAGAAACAGAGAAGGGACATGGACAGGGTTTTTTTGTTTTTTTCCTTTGCAGGTCATCTGCAAGTAGATTAGTTAGCTATGGAGCTGCACTACTTCAATACTGCTTAACACAGGGATACTCAACATGTTGCCCGCAGTACAGTTTTGATTTACACGGGGCTCAACATATGGCCCGTGAGTGGGAGCCGAAACAAAAAAGTAGTCAATAGAATGGCCTTCTGTTGCTATGTGTTTTAGTAGTTAAATTCCTGGACTGTCATTGCTCATTAAAAGTGTTGTCATATGGGTGGAAATTAGGTAAATATTGCATTTTATTAATATCAGCAGAACTGACTTAAATGGGGCCTGTGTGTTGTGTAGTCTTGCCTTAATCTTTGTATTCATGCGTGTCAGTGTGAAAGAAGTTATTTGCATATATTTTCATATATATTTGTATGTGTATGCAACCACACTTAAGTTGCTGCCCTCGGCATGTGCAATGAGTATCATTGTGTCCCCCAGGACTTCCAAAGTTGAGTAGCCCCGGCTTAGCAGTAGCTGCATGGATCAGATATACCACTATAGCTGCCCCATACAGTGGTAGGTCACTTTTGGATATTCCAGTGGTACATGGACACTTGTGAGCATTTCTGCACAAAAGCTGAAACAAGAAAAGGTCAGGGTGCTTTGCTCATCATGCATTCCATTGAATTTAGCTAGTTCATAAATGAAGATGAAGGGTCTGTACTCTTAACTGTCCCTTTAAAGGCACCAGTGAAACACAGTGATGGTGCTGATGTGCAAATGACAAGGGGATGTCATCTTAAGTTGAAATTCCAGATGTTATGGAACAGGTTGGATAGCTATTTTTCTCATCTCAGCCTAATCAGCATCACCTATACAGCAAATTCTCCATCTGATGACTAATGACAGAGGTAGAGGAGCCTCACATATGTATTTGATTTTTTTTAGGTTCATTCCTCTCATACAAAAGGAAATTATTTTCCTCAACTGGATGAGAATTCATGCAGATGAAGAACTTCAACTGTTTTGCAAAAGTGCTTTATGTTATGTTAGTTACCAGTTTCAAATCAGACCACAGTTGAATAATATTGACAAAGATCTAGATCAGCGGTTGGTGCGCTCAACTTTTCCAGACTACTGTACCCGTTTCAAGAATCTAATGTGTCTTGCATATCCCAAATTTCACCACCTCTTACTTACAAAAATCAAACATAAAAATACAAAAGGGTCACAGCACACTATTACTGAAAATTAGCTTACTTTCATTTTTTATCGTAGAATTATAAAATTAATCGACTGGAATATAAATATTGTACCTTACATTTTAGTGCATAGTATAAAAGAGCACTATGCACTGATTTTAGTTTGTACTGATTTTGCTAGTGCTTTTAAGTCAGTTGTTGTAAAACTAGGCAAATATCTAGAGCACCCTGTGAGGATATAAAGCTTGTATCCGTATCCGCAAAAATGAGTTGCTGATACCTGCATTGACATCCAGGGATGCGTACACCTGTGGATATGAAGTGGATATATGCAAATTTGCAAGATTCTAAATATCTAGGTGACCTGACGTACCCCTGGAAGACCTCTGTTTACCCAGGGCTATGCGTATGTTTGGTTGAGAACCACTGATTTAGACGATACAACAGAATTTTACTATAAAAAACCATGAAAGATACATAAGGCATGTGTTTTTGAATTGTAGAATTTTATTTGTAATATGAATACTAACTTGTTTTTCCTCCCATCTATGGACACCACCTTCTATAACCCACACCCGTTTAGGGTTCTGTGCCATGTGAAACTTTCCCCCATTCTTTCCCCATATCTGAGTGGTACATTTGGATGGTGGTGTATAGATGAATGCAGAAATAAGCTTGCATGGCTCTACAATAAGTCATGGTGATGTAATACAAAGCTTTCATGTATCATGTCATAAACTTTAGGTAGCAAAAAACCTAGGCATTTTGTCAAATATGAGAGCTGCAGACTCAAGGAAATCATCTAGACCTGCTAGAATTATCTCTGTCAGGTTATAGAGAAGAAATCAGGAACATTAAAATGCAGCTACAGGGGATGGGACAGGGACATTTGTTGTTCTCACTTAAAGATGAACCTTATCCAGCAGTTCCATGAAGTACAAATAAAGTCTGAGAAACTTAACATTTGCATGATCCTAATGCTAGAAGTAACCATTTGCATGATATTTTTTTTTTTTTTACTTACATTCTTTTCAGGCTGGCAAGAGAGTGTTGGAGGGAGAGGACATAAGGATACTATATATTCTTACAATATAAATCTCGAAAGGAAAATCCAAAACTCCCCACATTTAGTGACTAGTCAACTACTCTACTATCTGATAAGCATAAGGTTATCGGATAGTCAACTAGTCCCTCGACTACTCACTTTTCCCCACCCCATGCTGCCTCTAATAGAGGCAGCAATGAGAGCAGGAGGGATAGCAGGAGCCGGTGCTGGAAGGAGCTGGCTTAAAAGCCAGCTCCACCCAGCATCATCTCTACAGGGGGCAGAGGGGTAGTGGGAACTGGGTGCGAGCCAAGAATCACCTGGTCCCAGCTCTTAATACATTTAAAAGGCTGGTACGCAGCGGGGGGGACCCGTTGTGAGCCGGCAATCAGCTGTCCCAGCTCACACTGAGTCCCCCATGCTGAGCTTCAGCCTTTTAAATGTATTAAGAGCCTGCCAGCTCTTAATAGATTTAAAAGGCAGAGCCACAGCAGGGTTAGCTCTTTCCTGAGACTCCCCCACTTATCAATGAGTCAATTAGTTGATTCAACTATATTTAACATCCCTAACTCAAAGAGTAGAGTTAAATTTAGTTTAATCACCCAACTATTTATACTCTCATTGCCCATCATTAGGTTCCAGGGTAAACTGTTTGCTACTTGTAGTTGCACATGCCTTGCTTACAGTAGAGTGGCCAATTCTTTCAGTGTTAGAAGTTTATGTTTGGAAACCTGTTAAGGACGGTCTTCTACTGCCTCTTCAACCAGCGTTTTAGGCTTAATGGGTTGGAGGAATCAGGACTTTTGATCAAATTACTTTGAGAAGACATTTAAGTGTCAATAACAGATATAAACAATATTCCTCAGATGCACGTATAATGTGTATGTCTAAGTTTCTGGGCTACAAACAGAGGAATTTACTACTAAAAGTCACAGAAAGCTCAGAGAAAATCTCCTTACCGAATATAGTGAAGACATAGCATTATTGAGAAAGTCATCATCCTTTTTTGGAGGGTTGACTGTGTTCCCAAATCCCACATAGCGATTCTCTTGGCCACTAAATCATATACCATTAGAAAACAATTATTATTATGCATTCCGATTAAAACTATCAGACCAAACATATAAAGTATAAGATATAGCTGAATCTGTTTCTTTGTTTTAAAGGTATTCATACACCAGGAAGTATTTGCATCAGTATTGCAAGTGCATACAGCTCTACTATTGCACCTCATTTCTAACTCCACAATTATGTAAAGCTAGTGAATGTGCACTGCAGAGAAAAAAAAATCTCCTTGCAGATTTTATCATCTCAATAAATCTTCTCCTGCAGTATACTATATCAGGTAGTTACTTTAGAGTTGTAGTCTCTTTTTGCATACAACTCACTGCATTAACTGAGGAACCTTGTACTAGCATTACTAAATACCCAAGTTACACACACTTTGCTCTAGGCTACTGAACCTGAAAGCTTCCACAAACCTTTCCTTGGGTACACAGGAAAGAAAAGGTCTTTAATGATTTTACATACAATCCCTTGTCACGTACACCACTTGTTTTATACCCTATGAGGATGTGTCATAGGCTGGTATATAGCCCATTTGTAAAAGGACAGAAAATAACAAGGCCCTACTCCAGGGCATTTTCAAGGGCCATGACACACAATGGTTGATAGAGAAGTGTCTAATTTAATAACATTATTGAAAATCAAATAGCTTTACCCTTGATAGGAGCCGACATCATCGTTTAACCAGTCTTCAAA